AGGGGGCGGCCACGGCGCCCCAGCCCGAGGCCTGGCGCAGAGCAGCAGGAGGCGGCGCAGGCCGCGGCGGGGCCTGCAGCGGCCCGCCGACCCCGCGAGGCAGCGGAGCGGGCCCTGGAGCGGCTCGGCCTCGGGCTGGGCGGCCGGGGGCGGCCGGGGGCGGCCCGTCGGCTACTTACCGGGAGGAAGGAGAGCCGGGATCCCGGGGCCCCAATCCGGACCGCGGAGATGCCCCAAACTGACACGGCCGCCATCTTGGAGACAGTGAGCTCTGGCCGGGGGGAGGGGAGGCGAAGCGGCGGAACAGCCGCGGGGGGAGGGGAGCGTCGCGAGGGAACGGCTGCCTGGGGGAGGGAGCGGGAAGAGCCTGGGCGGGAGGCGAGGGGAGGTGGAGGCCCGGCAGCGCGGGAGGGGGACGGCCGAGAGCGGGAAGAGCTGGGCCGAGAGCCGGGAAAGGCCGGAGGGCGGGGCGGGGCAGCAGGGAAGAGCCGGCCGGCGGGGTCACGTGGGGCGGGTACAAAAGGCCAAAGCCAGGGTGGGAGGAGGACTGGAAGGGGCTGGAGGCTGGCTAGCCGGGGGCTCCTTCTCGGCCTTCTCACACGTTTAGGTCAGGCGGCGACCCGGGAGAGGTGGAGCCGGTGCACCTCCATGCCACAGCTGGGGAAACTAAGGGCAGGCGCCTGGGTGGGGTGGCTTCAGTGTCGCACGGAAATCCGGCAGCCACGCAGGATGGGAACTCTTCGGCTGCGCCTGTTTACTTTTAGCGAGCCCTCCCTCTCCACTCTTTTGCCTGCACCCCGACTTGTACGGCGACGGTCCGGGAGCCCGAGGCCGAGGTGTGCCCGTGGGCGGGGCTGGGGGGCGGCGAGGAGGCGGCTTCCTGTCCTCACCCCTGGCTGCTCGCCTCAGCCCCCGACAGAGCTCTCCTGCTGGAGGGAAGAGTTGGGGAGAGGGCGGAACCGGAGGCACCGGTGTTAAGCCCTTTAACCAGTGACTTCATTTCTTCTCTCCACCAGCAGCTGAGTGGGTTCTTGGACCTCACCAGAGCCATTTTGTGGGAAACTCCACAGACCTGGGTCGTGTGACTTGGACAAGGTCACACAGCTAGTGTGTGGCGCTCACCTGAGCCTGGGACCGAGATTTGTCTTATTCTAAAGCCGGTCTTCGCTTCCTGCCCTGTACGGAACTGCAGTCCGTACTTAGGACAGAACCACAAGCAGGCACTTCTTCGTGGCCTGCCTATCCTCTACTGACTGCATGGATGTTTCTTTTTGTCTTGCCTTTCATCTGGTTTAAACTCTTGGATGCAGAGATTGAGTCATAGTTTTTTTGTTTTTTTTTTTTTTTGAGACAGTCTTGCTCTGTCGCCCAGGCTGGAGTGCAGTGGTGCGACCTTGGCTCACTGCAACTTCTGTCTCCCGAGTTCAAGCGATTCTCCTTCCTCATCCTCCAGAGTAGCTGGGATTTCAGGCGTCCACCACCACGTCCGGCTAATGTTTATATTTTTAGTAGAGACGGGGTTTCACTGTTTTGGCCAGGCTGGTCTCAAACTCCTTGACTTCAAGTGACCTGCCCGCCTCCGCCTCCCAAAGTGCTGGGATTACAGACGTGAGACACCACGCCTGGCCAAGTCAGACTTTTTTCCTGCATTCACTAGAAAGACCGTGAATGACGTGAAAAAGACATACCAAAGGCTTAATCATTTACATGGAAGTGTACCCTGCTGCCTGACCTTTATCTGCTCTGTCCCCAACCCTGTACTTCCCCTCCTAGACTGTCGACCCCAAAACCTCCTCATTTTATCTCAGCTTTAGCTTTTAAGGCCCCCTTGTCACTCATTGCCTTAACGTCCATGCTGACTTCCTTTTCTGAATTTCTGTAGTAGTATCATTTGCTGTAGTCATTTTGCGCTTATATATTTTGTGTGCGCGCTCTGTCTCTCATATATATATATATTCTGAATACATTCGCTGGTAAATGCTCTCCTATTATGACTCTTTGCATCTCCAGCACCTAAAATAATGTACAAGTACTGTAGAAGGCGGACTATAACAACAACAACAAAAAAGTGTTGCCCGTGAATGAAAAATTTAAGCCGTTAAGAAACCCGGTTGTAGCGGGGCGCTTCCATGGCCCAGCCACTCGAGAGGCCTGCTTGAGCCCAGAAGTTCCAGGCTGCAGTGAACTATGATCGCCACTGCACTCCAGCCTGGGAGACACTACGAGAGGGAACCCAACCTTTTCTGTCTCTATATCCGATCTCCACTCTAATCCTTAGCCCCACCTTCCATACGGTAGACCATATGGACCATTCAATAGGAATAAGGTAACTTGGGCTGGGCATGGTGATTCAGCCTGTAATCCCAGCATTTGCGGAGGCTGAGGCGGGCAGATCAACTGAGGTGTCAGGAGTTGGAGACCAGCCTGACTAAAATGGTGAAATAGTAGAAACCCGGTCTCTACTAAAAAATACAAAAATTAGCTGGGCGTGGTGGCGCGCTCCTGTAATCCCAGCTACTCGGGAACTGAGGCAGGAGAATCGCTTGAACCCGGGAGACAGAGGTTGCAGTGAGCCGAGATCGCACCACTGCACTCTAGCCTGGGCAATAAAGCAAGACTCAGTCAAAATAAATAAATAAATAAAATAACTTTCAAATGATGGTCCAGCCAAATCAATATCCTGACACTGACATAGAAACAGAAGTGTAATGTAATGAGGTTGGCTGAGCTGCCGTTCATCGCCTACTTCCAAGCTCCATCTCCAAAGCAGTACGGAAATTTGGGATAGAAAATAATCCACTAGAAAGGATCTCTTTCATCCTAGATTAATCAGACACATTCTCAGGTAAAATGGTCCGTGTTTGTAATGAAACAGGAAAAAAAAATATCTTTTAGTAGAATAGGCAGATTTTTATTTCCCAAAGAGGACAGATAAAGTTGTATTAATACAAAGACAATGAGTTCTTCATGTGAGACTACAGTGTGTCGCCTTAAAGAAAAATAATACAGAGATGAGTTGTGTTTACTTTTGGATAATTTGGAGGAAAACTAGCCACAGCCATCCCAGTGAAAGACCAAACTGGGGATTAAGCAAACAGTAGCAAGAATTTAAAACAATGTATAACAAAGCACAGTTGAGCTTTTCACACAGCTTCCATAAAGAGTCTCTGCTTTACATTTGCATAACTAAATGGCACATTCAGGTCTTCTCAAAATGAAAATCTCACAACAAAGACAGATTAAAGTCCTCATCATTTGCAAGTTAAAAAACAATCTGCACTCTGAAAGGATAGTTTTTCTTTTTCTTTTTTTCTTTGTTTTTTTTTGTTGTTGTTGTTCTTCTATCCTTCAAAAAGGATAGTTTTTCTTAGTTCAACCTTTACTCAAGATTCAGCCCTGTGGAGCTGGCAGTTAAAAGTTATTTCCCCGTTGCATATTTTGCTCTAGGAATCCCTGCCTTTTCACTTGTACTTGGT